AATAAAAGTAATAATCAATAACTTTTAGAATTACTTTAATCTCTTATTATATCTAAATATAAATAAGCATATATTATTATAGATTTTATAATTTAGTTATCTATTACTAAATTTGAATATAATACTATAATTATAATTATAGATAAGTTATCTAAAAGAACGTACTTTATATTTATTACTATAATAATAATTATATCTAATATTATAAAGATTTTCTTTGAAAATATTTTTAAATTATATAACTTACTTATAATTATAATATTAGATAGAGATATTAAATTCATAAGTTACTTTTAAAAATTTATTTTTAAATAACTTGAAATAAAATTAGTAATATCAATAGTTTTTTACTTATAAATAGATAATCAGATAGAAAGACTTAACAGAATATTAAAAGAAATATTGAGAATATATGTAATATATTAACAAAATAAATAGGATAAAAATTTAGCTATTAAGAAATTTATTTATAATAATAATAAAAATACTTTAACTAGTTACATATCTTTTGAGTTAGATTATAAATAAGTATCTTATATATCTATCAATATTCTATTATCTTAGAATAATATTTTTAAGATTTCATGAAGTATTGAAATATTATGATCAAAATAGCTAAAAATTTGTTACTTGAGATATAAAAAAGATAAAGTAAATATATAAATTAAAACAAAAGATTTGAAAAATTTAATTTTAAAAATAAAGTTCTTTTCTTTACTTGTAATATAAAAATTCTAATAGATAAGCAAAAAATAATCAAGAAATTTATATTAAAATTTATTAAACTCTAAAATTATCACAAAAATATTTTCTATTATCTATAAACTATAACTACTAATAAATATAAAATTATATTTAATATTTTATATATCTTTACTAAAGAAGTATAATTCAGATGATAAATATAATAAATATCAATCATCATTAGCAATCATTATATTAGATAATGAAAAAGAATATAAAATTAAAAATATCTTGATAAAAGAATTCATTATCATAAATTTCAATATCTTGTTAAATAACTTGACTATTCTCTCTATAATATAATATAAAAATTTCTAAAAAACTTGAAAAATATCATAAAGAAAATTAATATCTTTGAAAAATTATATACTTGAATATAATAAGAATATTATACTTTAAGTAGAAAAATATATAATATTTTTTTAAATTATCTTTCTTTAACTTAGATCTTTATATTATCTGTATAATAGATTAGTTTTTATACTATTTTTTATAAAAATTAATTTTATTCTGAATATATAGATAATTATTTATCTATTATTATTATTTTTGATATCTATTGAAAAGATTATTTTATGATAGATTAATAATTTTATATATAATATTTTGTTAAAATAATATATAATAAAGATATTATTAATTATAGATAGAAGAGACTAATATAATTATAGATATAATATAATAGATATTAGACTATAATTATAATGAAATTAAAGATAGATAACAAGAGTATCTTCATAATATGATTAGTTAAAATATAATCTGAAATCATAATATAAGAAATATATAATAATAAATAAGATATTATTAATAAAGATCATTAAATTTATAATATTATTATATTTAAATTATTATTTTGTCTTGTTATTATTTAATTTATTAATTTATTCATTATTTATTAATTTATTTTTATTAATTTTATTAATTAATTTCTTTTTTATTAATTTATTAATTTCTTTTTTCTAACTAAGATATATTATTTTTATATATTTTAGAGATTTTATAAATGATATTTTTATTATGATCTAAATATTACTTTTACTAGTATTATAATATTAGTTTTATTATAATAATATTATTAGTTTTACTATAATAGTTTTGCTGATTTTACTATAATAATTTTGTTATAAATATTATGTTTATAAAATTATTTAAAAATATTTATCAATATATTATCTTAATTATTATTCAATAAAATATAATTAAATAATTATTCAATAAAAATATAAGTATAAAATAACTAATATTAATAAATTATATAAAAAAAATCTATATTATAACAATATTTAATACATTAGATTTAATATATTATCATACAGATAATCATTATATATACTTATATTACTAATTTAGTTAATTAATATTTTTAATTAGATTTTCTTTTAATAATTCTTTATAATTTTACTTATTCTTTTCTTATTATTATTTATATTATTATTTATTAAATTATTAATTATTAGATTATAATTAGTTATCCTCTGAAGATACAAATTAGATTAATTAATTTTGTTAAATCATATGTATTTTAAATTAGAAATAATTATTAATTTATTCACTTTTATATTTATTTTATTTTACTTATAAATATATTCTTTCTGTTCTGTAATTTAACTTTAGATTTGAATATTTTTAAATAATAAAAATAATTATAAGTTATAAAATTAAAATTATTTATATCATATTTTATTTTATTTATAATTATTAATAAAATAATCTTATAATTATTTAGAATCAGATAATAAATTTTTTGTTTTTAGTTCATAATATACTTATTTCAAATTTAAAAAATAATAATTATAATTTTTTATTTATATATTATAAGATTAGTATTATAATAAAAACTTACTAATATACTTTCTAGAAATAAGTAATTATTAATTAATAAAGATTTATATATGATATATTGATTATTTAATTAAAAATTATTATATTATCATTATAATTTTTTAATAGACTTGATAATATATATAATAATAAAATATATATAATAATTTAACTATCAGAATTATTTTTATTAAGATAAATATAAAATATAAGATATAAAAAAATATATATAATAAAGTTTAATTATTATTTTATAGAATGAAAACTATAATATTATTTTCTATTTATCTTTATAATATAAAGATAGATATATAATATAGTAAAAATATATTTATAATTAATATATTATGTAAAAATAAAAGAATTTTTATAAATTTAGCTATAATATTTACATTAAATAATTATACAAGAATTTTAATAGATTATAAATAGTAATACTAATATATATTAGCTTTATTTCTGATAAGAATATTCAAATATAATATATTTTCTACTACTTATATTCTAATTATTTCAAATTAATCTTTATCTAGTTTAAAAATTTTGTAAATATAATATATATTATTATTTATAATTTTATTTCATTATCTATTTTTTTTTACTAAATATAATATAATCATAAATATTTTATATATAAAAGCTCAAAAAAAAATTTAAATATTTTAATACAAATATAATATTGAATTATCTTTTTATTTATTCTTTATCTTTTTTATTAATACTAATAATATTTTGTCATTCTAAAGTATTAATAAATAAAGATAATCTAAAAGAAAGATTTTTTAATATTATCTAAATTAATAATAAAATAACTATTAATTAATAAGTATCTTCATTTAATAATTTTACAAATTCAAAATTAAAGATTGAATTAATTTAAATATTTTTAAGAAGAAAAAAAAGTTCTTTTATAATATTTAAGATTTTTTTTTCAGATTTTTTCCAAGTTTTATTATAAATAAGATTTTTAAATAATATATTTTGATAATTATAATTAATAAAATTTAATATAAATTCTTCATATATTTCTTTAAGCTTTAATATAAGAATAAACTTTATTTATTAAATAGATTTTTTATTAAAAAATATTAATAGAATATTATAATTATATATATTACAAAAAATCTAATAAAAGTAATTTTTATATATATATATATTATTATTAACATATTATAAATATCTTTTTTAGATTTTTAGTAATTATTCTATAAGTTCTGTATTATTACTAATAATTTAACTTATTAGAAGATCTTTTCAAGTTAATTCTTAAATAAATAGAGTATTTATAATTAAATATAAATATTAATAAAGAGATATAATATCTTTTTTAAACTTTTTCTTTATTTTAATTATATTTTTTTCAATTTAATCAGAGTTAAGAAAGATTTTCTTGTTTATTTTAATTATCTTTATATTATATAATATATAAACTTCTTTAAAAATATTATTAAACTAGTATAAAATATAATATATTAATTTTTTAAAAATATAAAAATTTTTATTATTAAAATAATATATATTATCAATACATATACAAAGTTAATATTTTTATATAATTATTATATTAATATAATTTTATGTAATACTATAAAGTAATATAATAACTTATATTTTAAATATTCTTCTAATAAAATAATAGATTTTTCTTATAGTAGATTGAATACTATATTTTATATAATAGATTATAATTTAAATATTTCTTTATTATAAATAAGTATTTATTAGCAAGTAAATTAGTAGGATAAGTAAATATAAATAATAATCAAAATAATTTAACTATTTATTTAGTATTTATCTTTGTAAATAAATCATATAATATTATTATATTATTATATTATTATAATATGAACTTTTAGTAAAATATTAATTAATTAATTATTTATTATTAGTTGCTTTATATCATAATATGATTAGATAATTAATTACTTATATCTTATTAAATATTAATTTAAGAAAATATTATTTATAACAAGCATGATAATTATAATAAAATTATCATAGTAAAGTTAGCAAAACTATTATAGCAAAATTAATAATATTATTATAACAAAACCAATATTATGATGTTAGTTAAAGTAATATTTAGATTATAACAAAAATAACATAAATATTACTTATATAATCTCTAAAATATATAAAAATAATATATTTTAGCTAATGAAAAAGAATAGTTAGTAGTTTTATAGTTCTATAATTTAGTTTTTCTTAGATTTTAAGTTCTATAAGTTTAATTCTCAAATTATATTTTAGTAAATAATAGTTAAAGAGAATTTTAAGAAATATTTCTTATAGAATAAATCTTGACTAAGATCTATATATTATTAAAAAATTAATTTGAAAACATTTCTCTGAAAATATTTCTCTAAAAATATTTTAATTTAATCAAAATGTTATGAGAAATTTTTATAATTAATACTAATCTAATAAATAATTTAACAATTAATATTATCTTGGAATCCTAAACTATCCTCGAGATCCAAAATTAGGTTTGGCTCTTGTAATTATGAATCAATAAGTTAACCTTTGCAAAATTGACAAGTGTAACGTACAAATGTATATAACGAAATTAGCTAAAAGTTTTGTTTTTATCAATTGGTGGATAGGATAATTTTGCTGACTTACTTATTCCACTATTGCTATTACTGCTATTATTGTTATTACTATTATTGTTATTATTGCTATTACTGCTGTTGGTGTTTTGATTATTACTAGTATTAATAGTTTGATCCCAATGTACTTGCGATTGCTGTTCATAAATATTGGTGATCATTGGACTTAAAGGAATATCGTGGCTACCCATTGTTGAAGAATGACGAATAGCGTTGATGACTTCCTGACTAGATGGACGTGAAATTGCTGCAGGATTATAAAGTAACGGCTGGTTTTGGATAGTAGATTGCCGTTGTTGACCTTGAAAATTTTGCATATTATGACTTGCTATTAATTGTCCATTATTATTGAAAATCTCATTTCTTGACGAAGAATTATTACCAATAAAGGGAGTAGGTCGATATATCCCATGCAGATTTGGTGGATATACCAATGTTTGAGTTGATGATGTGTTTTGCGCGTTAGTCTGTTGATTAAGTAGTAGTTGTTGCTGCGTAGATTGTGATAATGATTTACGTCTGTTTGGTTGTTGTGTCAACATTATTTGTTGAAGTGGAGGTTGTTGTGTCGATAATAATTGCGAGGATGAATTTGGTCCAATCATTTGTTGTTGAACTAACAAGTGTTGTTGATTTAATTGTTGTTGAGTTATATTATTGTATATAGGATGATGCTGACTGTAAACTATATTTGATGGTAAACCTAGGGAGGGATTTATATACATTGGCTGTGATGATATATTATTATTATTATTATTATTATTATTATTATTATTATTATTATTATTATTGTTATTATGCGATTGTAAGGAATTAATAGTTGATGCGGGTAAGGCAGGTGTCGTAGTTTGTGGTGGTGTGTAATATGATAATTGTGGTTTTGAACTTCGTCGCTGTTGTGGGGGTGGTTGCTGAGATTGTTGTTGGTTTCGCATCTGCATCAATGGTCGTTGTTGATGCGGAAGCATTCTTGTTTCATCAATTGTAGGCATAGACGGTGTCCTTTGCCGTGGAGATGATAAATTTGGTGTTGTATGGTTCAAGTTTGCAGTCATGACGGGAGAGGCTTGGTTTGGCGGAGGATGGGAAACAACTGAAGTACTTTGATTGGCAGCAATCGATGGAATTTCAGGACCATTAGATCTATTGACACTCGGATTTTCCTCAGTGACTCGAATATCCAACTTTTGACTATTTCTCCGACTAGTCGATGATTTTTCTTCAGCAGCATTACTGCCATCAAACCAATTATCACTAGTGGCATCCATCGTCTCAGTATCAGTAGGATTCAATAAATCAAAAATTGTTCTTTTTCCTTGTTGAGGTGATCTTTCAATGATTGCTTCTGAATTTATATTTCTTATTTCCTCTAAACAATAACAGAATGTTTATTAAAAAAAATTATTTAATGATCATGAAATAATATGAGACAATTTTACCTTTCCTTTCCGGTTGAGAAGAATTATTGTTTTTGTTTAACATCGACGAACATTCGGTATGTGTAATTGGCGGGTTGGTAGGTGATGTAGAGGATGATGTGGGAGTTATCGTAGCAGTTACAGGCGATTGTGTATTTGGTTGTAGATCAGATGAAATAATAGGCGATTTTTGATTTCTTTCAAAATATCCAGTTGGAGGTAAATTTAATTGTTGCGGAGATTTTTGGGACTGACCTTGCTCGATATTAGATTCGGATGATTCTTGGGTATTATCATTGATAATGGTCTCTGGCGTATTTATTACCGAATCTTCGTGAATTTCAATTTGTAGTTCATTTTTATCAGTAGCTCCCGATTCTTCATTTATTTTATTGGAATAATTTCGGACTTGATGAGGTGTTTTTGTCCCCAATTTTTGTGATATCAATTCAAAATTCTTTCCGTAAGATTTCACTAACTCCTGGAAAGACGTTTTTTCTTTTACAGACCAATATGACGAATGACGAGGAGTCGTACCCTTATCCTCACTTCTTGATACTCGCCTTGCAACTCCTTCATTTACAATAGATGACGTTGCAACAACCTCATCAATTTCATCTTCATCATCCGCAACTTTTTTTGCACGTCCTCCTTTTCTTTTTTTCCCTTTTTCATTATCTTCTTCTTGTGCTTTTACTTTTTTTCTAGGTTTAATGTTCTTCGATTTTTTTGTCGTTGTAGCTTCTTCTTCTTCTTCGATATTAGGAGGTGATGAAGGCATAACTATCGTTTCATTTACAGTGTTTTCATTCTCTACATTATTTGTAGAAACTTGACTAGACAGATACTCACAAATATAAAATCTCTCGCATTCTTCTTTGGGCTTCTCCAAACTGGAAGCAACTTCATCAAGGTTGTTGCCATATTTTTCAAATGCGGTTAAGAAAAGAAGGATTTCATCTTCCTGCCACTCATTACTTTTTTTATATGTAATTTGTTGAGATTCGGTTTCGTTAGTTTCTCGTAGAGAAGACGAAGTTTGTTTTCCTTGATGAGACAAAGGCGATTTCGGTATTATTATTGATGTCTCTCGGTCATTGTCAGCATATTGTTCCTCTATTTGTGCTGAAGATGGTTCTGTTTCAAGAATGTCCCTTTCTGCGGTGTCAAGCTCTTGTTGTTCTTCCAACTTTTGAATTTCCTCTTTCTCTTTATTCTTCCTACGGGAACTTGATGCTTTGCCAATATCATCGGTCAAAGCAGATCCTTTATTCCTTTTGCGAGTATTTGGTTGCTCTGGAGTAGGCGGAGAAGTAGTAGTTCCATTTGTTGCTCTTCGTCGTCCTGGTCCTTTTCGTTTTTTCGTGTTTCCCTTTGCCGATACCAAGGCTTTGAAATCAATTAATTTCTTTTTATTGAGATAATAGAATTCAACACATTGGTTGGTAGTTTTGCTTGAAATCAAGTCAGCTATTTTCCCGAATTGTTTCGGATACTCCGAGTATGCATTTTTGAATTTTTCAATTTCTTCGGGCTTCCAATCGGATAACGTGTCACGTTTAATTTCGTAAAATTCTGTGGGGTCCACGACTATCCTATTACTATCATCAAAGATCAAAGTTTCTAATTCAAAAATGTCGAGAATCATAGAAGGTATAGTGGCCAGGGTTCTACGTGCACGTAATTCAGGATTACGTAATTCAGCAGCCTCAAGATCTTTAATTATTTCTTTTAATTCGGCCTCCGATCGTGCAGCATCACCTCGACGGTATGCTCTTCCCGCTAACGATCTATTATTACCACCAGCTGTTTCTTCGGAAGAAGGTCCAGCAATAACTTCGAGTTTTTCTGGTTTCTTCTTTTTTCCAGCAAGCTTTTCAAGTTTTTCATTTTTCTGAACCCAACTTTCGTACAACATTTTGTATTGATTTTTAAGCGCTTTTTCTTTTTCTTCCAGGTCAAGTTTTTTCGCGATTATATTTTGGGTTATATAAAACTCATAAAATGCTTTGTCTTCAATAGTTTTTTTGAATATGGGATATTCTAATAAAATATTATAAACCTGGCGAGGTGGTGCAGAGGATAATTCATTTTTTTCAGAGATTAAACGGTTTTCCTGATATATTAGTTCCCATAGAGATAATTTTTGTTTGTTTAATGCTTTTGAGCCATCAGTAGAAGCATCATCTTGAACGTGATTATTTTGATTTCTCGAATTCTCATTCATTGCCACTCCTAAATGGCAACTATGGGATAATCTAGCTGATGATGATATAGGCCTATCAATTGATTGAATATTATTTTCATCATTGATATTTCTATTCGTGGAAGCAGCATTTCCGTTGGCTTTCTCTGTTGATTTATTATTATTAACTTTGAATTGAGACTTTTTCCTTTCAATGATTGTTTTCTGGCGCTGAATTGTCTCTAAAAATTCTTCATATTTTGAAATTTTATCTTCTACATCTTCAATCATTTGCTCAAGATCTTCACGAATACTTGTTGTTTCCTCATCAGAAGCATCTTCAGGCCTTGGAAATCCAAAAGATATTTCCGGTGACTCATTCCTTTCTGAGGTCTGTTGCTCATTATAGTCCTTAATACTGCTATTGTTATTATCATTATTGTTGTTATCGTTGTTGTTATCGTTGTTGTTATCGTTTTTGCTGTTGTTGTTGTTGTTGATGTTGTTGTTGCTGTTGCTGTTGCTGTTGCTGTTGTTGCTGTTGTTGTTATCATTATTGTTATCAGTATTGTTATCAGTATTGTTATCGTTGTTGTTATTGTTGTTGTTATCGTTTTTGCTGTTGTTGTTGTTGTTGTTGCTGCTGCTGTTATCGTTATCGTTATAGTTATAGTTATTGTTGTTGTTGTTGTTGTTGTTGTTGTTGTTGTTGTTGTTATTACTACTACTACCATTACTACAATTATTGCTATTGTTACCACTACTATTATTTTTATTACTATTATTACTACTACTCTTACTAAAAGGTAATTCAACAATTTCTCCTTCTTCATTTTCATTATCGTCCACTGAAGTAGTAACTGGATAATTTTGTGCTTCAATTCCAGATATATTATCATTTTTTATGTGATTTTCTTTTCCTTCGACACTTTTAGGTGGAGGTTTGATTTGCTGATTAAGTGATTCTGAAGTCGAAGCTATAGTCGCTTTCACTATAGTTTCTTCGACATCAAGCTGTAAAGGAGGTTTGTCATTGATCGGATCGTTCTTTTCAATTGACGCCTCTTTATGAAATTGTTCAGGATAAATGTCTGATTTTTCTTCATTTGGACTTAAATCCATATCTAAGGATTTTTCACTAACATTATCCATCCCATTCGATTCTTCATTTTGTCTTCCGTCAGGTGCATTTGTTGAGGAACCACCTTCAATGCTGTGCCATCCAGTCCACCCCCCTCGATCACTATTCTTTGGTTTTTGCGGCAAAGATGAATTTTCACCACCTGATGCTAATTCTTCTTCTGTAGAATTCTTGAAATTAACTCGTGTCTCGTAATCTGCTTCTTCATGCGTAGCTAGAGCACGCGATGGGACTATAGATGATTCATTATTCAAGTCATCCACGCTGACCGCATCAGGTACATCATCATATCCGTCTTCTGTTCCCTGTTTTGAATTGTCATCAAATTCGTGATTTTTTTCCGGAAGTTTTGTGATAGAAAATTTCAGCGGACGTTTTGAAGAGAATCTATCCAAATCGTGTTTACGTGGTGATGACTCTCTAGAGATTGCATTAACAGACCTATTTTGAGGACTCAATGAACGAGAAATAGAATTTGACCTAATTCTACGATGTGTTGGAGGTGATCTACTAGAACGGGTAGAACGGGTAGATGATGATGGTGATCTCCTATCCCGACGCGAAGCTCTCCAGTGATTATGCCTAGCAGCCAATGATAATTTTTCAGAATCTGCGGAATTATCTCGAGATAGATTCCTATCATAACGATAATCGATAAATTCATCTCTGCTCTTATCATTATAATTGTTAGACCTTCGATACATTTCCTCTTTGCCATCCCAATCTCGATATCTGTTATGTCTAGGATATTCTCTTTCACGATGATAATACATTTCATGCTGACTTTCTCGATCATAATGCATCATATTTGACCTATAAATGAAAGAATCACGAAAGTCCCTATGACTAAAAAACAAATAACCAAATAAAATTAGAACAATTTTCATAAAATTTTTCAATCTTACTGCACATTCTTTAATTAAAGATATTTTTCTATTCGATTTACCTCTCCCGTTCTCTTTCTTTCTCTCTTTCTCTTTCGCGATATTCTCTATCTCTCTCGCGCTCACGATCTCTTTCACGCTCACGTTCCCTTTCTTTATCGCGCTCTCTTTCACGAGAATAGGGACTTCTACTTTTTGCCCAACCGTCTCCATCAGAATATCGAAATGGTGGATACTCGCGATTGTTATTATTGTTGACAGTACCATTATTATTACTATTGTTGTTGTTATTGTGAATGTTTCCAGAGCCAAGTGGATAATATTCACGGTGTCCACCGATATTTTGGTTTGGATTAAAGGGTGAATTATTCATTGGGCGGAAACGAGGTTCTCTTGGTGCAATATATCTTTCACCATATTTTCGCTGGCATTTTATCAAAAAATTAGTAAAATTTAAATAAAAATTTCCAGAAATAAAATCAATTCACTAACTTCACGATCATTAGATGAAAAAGCCATTTCATTTGATCCTAATTCTGGATTATTATTTCGCAATAATGCATTTCCAGGAATTCGACGTTCACCAAAGGTCATGTTGCTTCCACCCAGTGGAATTCTATCCATGTCCTCATAGTCAATCGGAGTTCGTTGTCTATGAGTATTCCTAGGGAACATGCTGTTTCGTGCATTTTGCTGAGGAGAATGTTCTTCCCGAAAATATGGGCGGTCATCTCTGTATTCAATTAATTTTTTATTTAAAATTTATTATGAGAAATATTTTCTTTTATTGATAATAGAAAGTATTGAAATAGAAAGCTGAGAATTTATTCATTTATATTTCAACACGATGATCGAAGAAGAAAACGGGCATCTTTGGAAACTACTTACCGCTCACGCCTAAAGCGCTCGTCACGCCTTTCTCGTTCTTCACGCTCGCGACGATTGGACCCGAATGTATCGAGAAATGATTCATTCATTATATGTATAAAGATATATTCATAAATGTTTCGAAGTATTTCGTATTACTTTTAATTTTTTCAATTAGAACAGACATATATCTGTTCTTCCGGGATCAGTTCGGAAAAATTATGGGGATCACTTCAATTTACTCTAGCGTGACTTTGAAAAATAATATAATTGCAAAATGGCAACTTTTTTGGCCAGAGTAGAAAAGAATTTTTTATTTCTGTAGATTGCATTTTCTTTAGAGTATTAAAAAAATAAATGCAACAACAATAAAGTTTTGAAAAGAAGAAAATATTTTCTATTTTTTTATATTGTATGACTGGCAAAAAGAAGGACAAACAGAGTCTATTTGTTGAGATCGAATTTTGGCCTTTATCACTATCATTTTTTCGCGTTTTTTAAAACAAATTATTGATAGAACAGCTTAAATGGAACAGATTGAGAAGGCAGTTGCCTTCGCTTTGGATCCCTCAGCGGAATCTAATTTAAAAGCTCAGGTTGGTACGAGAATTAGGTCTTCGATTAGAATCCCAACTTAACATACAAACGAATTGCACCTGCCCGCGGAAGAAACTAGTATAGTCATTATATTAATTGAAAATTGGAAAAAATTTAATAAATATTATTTTCAAATTAAAAGTGGCTTTTCCCGCAAACACAATATTATCATAGAAAACATCATCGATTCAAGAATTTGATGCATTTTAGATAACATGAGAATCGTATCTTTTATTTCTACTTTTGCTTAGGCAATGTCTTTCTGTGAACAAGTGAAATCAGCACCCGATGGCTGGCAGCTCTGCTTAACTTTATTTGTCCGATCTCCAAAAAGGTGTAATACATGTTTCTTTGACTTATTATTAATTTACATTTATTTCGATATACTCATAATTAATACTCGCTATTTGCTCAGTACGCCGGAAGCGAGAATTTTTGCATTGCAAGTTCTTGACGATGTTCTTCAAAATAGGTAATTGTTTAATTTATTTAATTACGTGATCGATATTTTGTATTCTAAATTTTCTTGATCTTTTTTTTTTCAGAATCACATCACTCAACGCAACAGAAATACTTTACATAAAAAACACTTTAATGGACTTTGTAAAACGAGAGTATGTAATCGGCGATGGAAACGATGGAGAATGCAGCTCTGAACCTAATTGTATGTGATATTGTTTAAATCTTTTGAATATTCAAGGAAATTAATGCTAAAAAGTTTTTTTATAAAAATCTTTTAGACTTGAAGAATAAATTTGCACACACTCTGACTTTACTCTTTGTTCAAATCTATACAACCTCTTGGCGTGAATTTTTCAATGAATTTTTGGGATTGCTTCACTCAAATTCACATGTTAGACAAACAAATGTTCGTACCGTTGATTTATTTTTAAGAATTTTGTTATCAATCGATGAAGAAGTAGCAAGTCTGGTTGTACCACGAGGAAAAGAGGAAAATAATAGGAATACCGAGATTGTGAGTTAATTATTTGTTTAATTATAATTTATTTATATTTGCTTGTGCTATCTTTAATTGTTTCATAATTTGAAATCTCTTGAATAGAAAGATATGATGCGAACTGGCGATGTGCAAAAACTTACGTCCACCTTATATGATATATTGATAGACTATCGTCTACAAGATCAAGATATTGTACAAATGTGTCTAAAAATAATCGGATTATATATAGGTAAATCGATTAATCGATTCAATGAATGAATTTACATATTAATCTTGAAATGTCGTTATTTAATTTGTCAATTCTTTCTTAACATAGCTTGGATTGATGTGTCCTTAATTGTAAATGAAGCTTATATGAATTTGATATATCAATTTTTTGGAAATCCACGACTCCGAATTTCAGCATGTGAATGCTTGACCGAGGTACGTCTTCAAAATGATCACTGGATTTTGTAGCAATATTTCCTAAAATATATCTATGATGTTCGTCTTTATCATGATTCATTCAATTGCTAATTTAATAGCACACCAATTCTTTCCATGGGAACTCAGATTGTATACAAAGGTATGAAACCGCTCGAAAAGCTGAATCTGATTCAATTCTTAAATTTGACGGATATAATGGGAAAGTTGGATTTGGTAGGCAAAAGTGATTTGTTGCTTTATTATTAAAGTAATATATTATTCTTTGATTTCGTCAAAAATTTTCCGTGATATTTATATATATAGGATTTGCTTTTTTGATCTATATGTTATTGCTAAATAGACAGATGATATAGATTTTGTCGAGCAAGTGGCGAAATTAACGAATACGCTTGGTACTGAATTATGTAAAATTTGGGATGAGGTGAGTAAACGAGCAGTAACGTAACCTCTCATTCTCTTAATTAAACACTTTTCAAAAAAAAACTTATATTTTAGACAGAATTTTCGCCTGAAGCTAGAAACGCAGCCTACGTGCAGATAGAGTTGCTGCTGCCATTCTTACTAAAATTCCTCGGAGATGAATATGATGAAACATCATCGGCTGTTTTCTCATTTGTAACAGGAATTCAAAATCTGGCAAGTTAGCAATTTATATTTTCTCTTTTCATTCTCTTACTTTTAAATAATGTATAAATCTTTTCCAAAAAATAGTTAAAAAAGCAGAAGAAAAAAAATGGAGAGTTAAGTAATTCGCAACGAGAATTCTTAGCTTCTTTGCTCAACGTAATTGTCATGAAAATGCGATACGATGATGAAACAGATTGGGGTGGCGCAGACGAAGAAGAAGTCGAAGCAGAATTTTTAGAAATGCGCAAGGCAGGTCTTGCATTCTCCTTTAATTATTAAAATCACATGGGTTCTCTGTAGATAAAGTCTTATTAATAATATTTATTTGTTTCGGATATTGGACACAGTCGTTAAAAGGTTTTATTGACGCTATATGGAAAGTCGATGAACCTTTATTTACCACATATATTCATTCTGCTGTGATCAACACGCTCGACAATTATCAGATTAGGGGGAATGAGATTGGATGGCGTGAATTTGAATTGGCTCTTCATTTATTGTATTTATACGGTGAAGCGTATCAAGGACAGCCTAATTTTTTAGTGAAGCAAAACAATAAAGTAGTTGGTCTATCGCCCTTAGGTGAAATGGTGCAGAAAATGATTGAGAGTAGTAAGTTATTTTATACGAGCGAATAAATATTTCACAATTCGATATTTATAAATTGCCATCAATACTTTTTATTTATTCAGATATTTCAGCATATCCACATCCATCTATTCCATTGAGTTTTTTCGAAAACGTAACGCGTTATTATCAGTTTTTCGAAATGCAATCCGATCATATTCCGATTGTACTTCAGACTTTTGTGGATACGCGTGGATTACATCATCCAAGTAAACAAATCAGGTCTCGTTCTTGGTATTTATTTCATCGATTTGTCAGATCCCTTAAGCCATATATGAATGGGTATGCTGGAACAGTGTTGCCGCTTATTCAGGTAATTCTGCAAGAATTTAATGATGATCGTGGTGATGATAATGATAGTAGTAATAATATGTAATTTTATTTTTAGGATTTATTGATTATTCAAGCTGAAATTCCTCCTACTATTAATGCCGGAGAAAGCGTATTGAGCAAAGATCAAGCCATGAGCGGATTCTTTAGTGATCAAATATATCTGTTTGAAGTTGTTGGCATATTAATTACTGTTGATTCTATTCCTCCTGAAACTCAATTAAAATTTACAGAGGTATAATATCCCTTTTTCTGTCATATATCGCATCTGCTTTAAATGTTGAATAGCTGAAAATTTTGTAGGAAATCATCAATCCTCTATTGGCCGAAATACAACTTAATCTAGCAATAGATCCATCAGATCCTAAATATCTTTTTTCTGTACTTCAATTACATCATTTGATGATGGCTATCGCTAGTATTGGAAAAGGTTAGTTTTCTATATACATATAGAAATGGAATTATTAAGATCAACAGAGTTAATGAAATTAGAAATCTGGAATTTTCATCAGGTTTTCCAGATGCTTCGAAACCTCAAGCGACAGCAGCCCCCTGGATTGGCATTTTCAAACAGGCGACTCAAGCAGTCTTGTATGTGTTGAAAAGTCTAGATCGGTTTGAAATAATTCGAGATGCGGTGAGTTCATAATCTGAACCTTAACCATAATTGAAATCGTCTTATTCCGGTATTTTCATTTTATCTTAACCTAGGCGAGATTCTCTTTCGCAAGATTCGTTAATGTTTTGGGCACGGAAATTTTACCTTATATTCCGCCTTTAATTAATGGACTATTGAATGAAAGTCAAGTGTCCGAATTGGTAGATTTCCTACCTTTCATAGGACTGATTGCTCATAAATTCAAAGTGAGTAACTCTATATGAAAAATTTTAAATTCTCGGTTCATTAATAACATCATTCATTGATTAATATTAATTGCTTTCATATAGCCAAAAATTTTTGACATTTTAAATGAACTGATATTGCCCTTGGTAAATAAAGTGTTTTTGTTCCTCAATCAAGCACCATCTGGCACTGATGAAGCTCTTTTATTAATGGAACTTCGGAAAGCTTATATTTCATTTATTCTCGGATTATTCAACTATGGGATGGAAGCCGTGTTCATCAGTGAATGTAATTAATTTCCTGGTTTAATCGAATTATTATTTATCATTTAGTTAATTCTAATAATTAACATTTTCCAGTGAATCGGCCTCATCTTGAATCAATTTTACAAAGCGTTGTTCACTATGCAAGTGACGCTTCAGATAGCCCATTACTGAGGAGCTCTTTCAGTATCCTTTCAAAAGCTATAGCTTCCTGGGGAGGCACTCCTAAAACGTCTGACGGAACTGATGGTATGCAGAGCAATGGAGTTAGTCGACATTTGCCTGGATTCGACCGATTTATGTATGAACAAATATTAAGGATTTGCTTCGAAGTTCCTTTGAGGGATACATTTAATTTAAGCGACGGTCAATCAATTTTGGTATATTTTTATTTATTATGGGAATCTCTTGATGATCAACTTAATAATTGTGTTGTCATCTTTTTTTAGGTGTTAAATGAAATCTGTCTTATAATGAAAGCTATGCTTGCGCAACAAGGTTCTGATTTTGTAGACTATTTGAGGGGAACATGGTTACCATCAATCCAATGTCCTCCCGAATTAGCAGAAGAATTTTTACAGGTTCTGCAACAATTGGATGCCAAAGCATTGCGTAAATATTTTCAAGTAAGTTTGATTTTTATTAATTATGGCAACAAAGGTTATATTATACAATAGTGAACCTTTTCTTTATTGTCATCATCTAGGAGTTTATCCGAAAATTGAAATCATGATGATTATTGAGCATCAAACGATAATGCGAAAAAACAATGTGTATATTTTTTAATATCTATTCTAATAATTATGCAAATCTTTTATCTTTAATGCTTTTTTTCGAATACAACTAGTTTTTTGATGCTATTTTAGAATATTTTAATTAAACTATATTTCTTTAATAAAAATGAGAGATTATCGTTTCTTCTATTCGATCTAAACCACCCAAGGAGTTATGCGATGAAATATATAAGTTCTTAAGACTAATGTTTAAAAATATGCTCATATTGTACACTGAGATAATAAGGGCGAGGTGGCTGAAATAATAAAAAAATTGGCCACAGTGTGGCAAGTGTTGCTAATTCATCTATTCATTGCCACCACCTTATTTTTCGTGTATTTTGAAGTATGACCTCTATTAGTGCCTCTCCAAGAAAACGACGATTATCAGTTGTTTCTCCAGAAGGTTTGTATAAAGATTTTTAGAAGTGGCATTACCGGCAGTATTATTAATATTATCGGCGTAATCAATTGACTTTCCTTTACTAATCTTTGAATAGAAGGACGTCGAGTTTCAATTAGTGAGCCTAACAATAAAAAGGTAGAAATTTGAGATATCGGTTTTGTGAGAATTCTTCGTTTCCTTTGAAATTGAAGTTTTTCTTTTTGGAAAAATCAAAGGTTAAATCGGATTCTACAACTGGTTCAATAACTTCAGGGACAATACCCATAGCCTCAAACATTAGCAATAATAATGATGCGCCAAGTAACTCTAATAAACCAGAGGTCCCTGTGACATCATCATCTCAAAATAATAATATCAACAATAATAGCCATAGTAACAATAACAATAATAGTAGTAGTAATCCTCTAATGTCAGTCGTATCAGCTGCTCCAAAAACACTGCATCATAAAAGTGGAAGTATTAGCAGTAGTATTGAGAATATGCAGACAAGTAATACTACGGCATCATCTGTAAATAATTCAAATACCAATGTATCGTCAGGGACAACAATAATGACATCAGCCACATTATCACCTACAACACTAGAAAAGGACTCGCTTAATAGCAATGTGAATAATACTTTAAATAATTCTTCGAGAGTTAAAGGACATCAACGTCAAGTTTCATCTTCATCCTCCTCGCACCAACAACAATCAACAGCAACAATATCATCACATGCCCACCCTGATCTATTAATACGTTTAACCAAAAAGGAGGAGGAAGTTCAAAATTTACTAGTAAGAAAAACTCATTATCGATTATACATATAAAAAAATTCTTAATAACCTTTTCAATATTTAGGGAGAACTACAAACGCTCTCACAAACCCTTACCCCGGATTTTACATTCGATCCAGCATTACGAAAAAAATTTCTTGATCCAGCAATTAATGCTTTATTCAGAACAATGAAAAAAGAATTGGAGGAAAAAGAAAAGATGATAGAAGATTTACGAAATGAATTGGATGGAATTAGTTTTACTCCAAATAGGTTTAACATTTTATACTTGTTTCCTTATATTAATATTTTACATGGTAACAAAATCAATTAATATTTCTCATCTTAGTATAACCGGTAAAAAGCTAGTAGCTAAATTGCGTGCATTACAACATGAGAATGAAGAGTTAGGTCGACAGCTTAGACAGGGTCGCGTCGAACAATACGAAGTGGAAATTGCAATGCAACGTAAAGTTATTGATGAGCTAAAAGCCGGTTTAGAAGGTTAATATTGAATACTATATTATATTTTTGATTTCATCATTATTTTAATCTTACCTCTTTCTGGCCTAAAGAATCGGATGCTCAATCTTTGTTGATGGACGAGGAAAATGAACGATTGCAAGACATTGTGTTTCAACTTCAAGCAAAATTGAAAATATGCGAGAAAAAAATTGATGACCTTCAATCTGAGAAGAATAAAAAGAGTAATATTATTAGCAATAATGATGATAATAATAATAATAATAATAATGATGATGAGGAAGCTGTCACATCAAATGAGGCTGCTTCTGTTGTTGCAAATGCTACAAATTCCGCTGTCACTCCAATCACCCAGAGTCCGGAAGGAGAAGCAGAAGAAAAAAGCGGTGGCAATAAAAATATGCCTAATGACGATGTGGATATGGCTGATAATGAAGATCGAGAACTTCAAAGTAACGAAGAAGAGAATAAAGAGAAAGGCAAAATAGAGCGTGCATGAAATTTTTCTATATGTTCACTTCTAATTGTCTGATTACTAATAACACTATTATTGTTATGAGATTGTGACCAAACAAATTACTTTCTGGAACAATGTGTATGAGAAATTTTCAATAATAAAATCAATTTTCAATTACAAATTCAATATACGACCAAATCGGGAAATCACATATACGAGATGATTGCAATTAACTAATCCTATACACTTGCACATCTTTTCTATCAGCGAAGGCCACATTTCAAAGCTCAATTCTGCCTTGATTCATATAAAATCTTTACGATGGCTCACCTCAGTCGCATTTCTCTTGAGAATCCCAAAGTACTTGACATTCTCCAAAATGATGCCAAAGATTATGCTAACGAGTCAAAGTATATTACTGTATTTGTGACCAGTGAGGACAATGCCTATGAGGACGGAAGGTGTGGGAACTATTCTGATTATGCAATTGAATATTGGCATAAATTGATATTTTTATCTTTCCTTTCCTTGACTCTTTGTTAGCTGCAAACGTATTTTCGACTATATTATCAAATTTGATTCAAGGTTAATGGAATGCTTTAATTTCACAAATTAACATTAAAAATTATCACGTGGCAGAATTTCTCTCTCGCATGAATTCTAACTCCGGCTCGCACTATCTATAGTTCTAGCATGAATTCTAACTCTGACCCGCACTATCTATAATGCTATGCGACCAAAAATCTTATCTTCATTCTATGATCTCAATTGCATTACCTTGTTATGCTCTACTTTTATTCTTTTAAGTCTTTAACATCTAGATTTTTCTTTATTATTTATTATATTATAATTATTCATTATCTATTTATATAGCTCCTTTCTATTTTTAATTATTTATTTATCTTATTTATCTTATTTTTCATAATACAAAAACAATCTCATTATAATAAATTCTGTTTAACTAAAGCACTAATTACAACCAAAAATAATTTTAGGATTAGTTAAAATAAATCTATTCTGAATTTACTAATAAAATCTTAGATAAATTGAATTGTTTAAAATTTTTTATTAATAATATTAATCATTTCAGTATAATAGAATTATCTTTTTATAAATTACTTTATTATTATTTGTATTCTAATTTTTAATTATTTTAATATATATTTTGTTTTTTTAATTTTTATTGATATTTCAAATTATACAGTGATGACCAAAAATAATGATTCAGGGACTAAATTTACTAATAAAATATAGTGAAAATTAAAATTTTTTCTCTATATTAAAATTTATAATTTTAATAAGAAATAATTTTTATTTTTACATTAAAATAAAGTTTATCA